TTTCTTCAAATTAATATATTAAGATCTGAGAGCCACAGGTTCACTTCCCAGCCTTTCTTCTGACAGAGGTCAATAAAATAAGTACTAGTAATTTGAGGTTTAAAGGGTTACTCCAAGTACCATTGCCACTAAAGTTCCAGGCTCGCTAAGGTCAATTCTGTGCATATTTATATGCATATATTAAAACTCATTGGCTGAGAGTGGTCAGCTGATGCACTCAGCCAATGAATGTCATGCAGGACTGACAGCCATTTTCTCTAGGTCTGCTGAAGTTAGAAGTCTTTACCGGCCACTAGATTTGGTGATTTGGTTTTGACAGAATCTCGATTTGGACGAATTTGGACTGTTTAGCTATTTAATTGAAAAAACTAAATCCAGGCCGCTATATATCCTAATCCCAAGTAACCTAAATGGAAAATAACATTAGCCACCAGCAGCAAATAGTTCAAAACTCCCTGTAGGGGTCACTATGACTCCCGCATTAGTACAACGGATTTTTTTTAAAAACTTTTCCATGCCTCCACCTGCCATGTCACAAGTGGAGGCATGTCTGGTAAACAGCGAGCAGTCAGTGCTTGCTTTGATAAAAGACAAATAGTGACTGGATAGTGATAGGTGATTAATAAAGGCTAGGAGATAAGTTAAACATGATTGATACAGAAATGGCTAGGAGAGAAGGTCTAGACATGTGACTTATGGGAGAAGTTATTGGAGACTATCATTGGATTAGTTAGATTAACATAACATGTGCTTGTTATAAGAGTAATTAAGAAAGAGGTTGTGAAGATGAAACCTTATAGGTTGATGGTCTACAAGCCCCTATGGAAGATGTTTCAGATGGCTGTAGAAGAGGAACTAGAAGAGAAGACACGTTACAGGTTGTTGCTAAAGCAGCAACTATGGAAGAATTTAGATGAATGTAGCAGGTGCTTCTTATAAGAGAGGACAGGGAAGAAGTTAATGATTGATTGATTGTTAGATGACAATGGGGTGTGAGTGAAGGAATGTCTCTACCTCGTCTGATTAAGTACATGGGGACACAAGACTTGAGGTATTGTAGAAACATTCTTACAAAGAGATTGCAGTGAAACCGTTTAAAAATAACCAAAATGTTATAAATAAATATAGATTCACCATTTCAGCCCTCTTTTTTTTCTTATTCGCTCTCCACAAAAATGTTCTGTTTATAATTAAAAACCACAAATGATTGCTTGTCAGGAAATGTTAGTAGCACATGTGTATATGGTTACTGGACATAATAAAAGGCTTATTTTATTTATAGCGGACATACTGGAAAAAAAAATCCAGACATATCAACCTATCTAAAAAATGTGTACAAATGATTTATGGTCGTGGAGTTAAAAGGAATTTTCACATTAGGCTAACATACAGAAGATATGCCCCTTAATTCTCTTGTACCAATTACCAAGCTATAATTTGTAACACATAAAAGGCTCGCATTACAGATAACACGTTGTAATACCGCCTTGCCTTTTAAAGAATACCAAAGCTTTAACATTATATTTAAGAATATGTTGATCTTATAATAAAGCACATTTAGAGAATGTTAATTGTTTGTATGAAGTATTCAGATTTGTCTATTTTATATGTTTTTGCTGCTGCTGAACTATGTAGAGAGTCATAGGTTTGCTATTAGTTTATTTGCATCAATATATTTTTCAATCAGTAGATACCAACTGAGGAAAGAAGGTCCAGGTACCCCAATGCTTTATAGGCACTTTTTTGGAACCAGAGGAACGCTGCAACTTTTCGACCCACAAATGACCGTTTGTTGGTCAAAACATTGCAGTGTTTCTCTGGTTCCAATAAATGTGCCTACAAAGCATTGTGGTACCTGGACCTTCTTTCCTCAGTTGATACCTGTATTCTGCTGGGCTGGTGCTGGTCTATTTAAGCATCCATTTGGCTTAAGTGGATTGAGTGCAATTCATATTACTTCTTTTTCAGTCAGTGACCATGATTTTTATTCTGGTTGTATTCTGGTGGGTAGTGATGTACCGAACGGTTCGCCGGCGAACGGTTCCTGGCGAACATAGCATGTTCGCGTTCGCCACGGCGGGCGAACATATGCGCGGTTCGACCCGCCCCCTATTCGTCATCATTGAGTAAACTTTGACCCTGTACCTCACAGTCAGCAGACACATTCCAGCCAATTAGCAGCACAGCCTCCCTAGCAGACCCTCCCACCTACTGGACAGCATCCATTTTAGATTCATTCTCAAGCTGCATGCTTAGTAAGAGGAGGGAAAGTGTAGCTGCTGTTCATAAGATAGGGAAAAGCATAGCTAGGTTAGGGATAAGGGTATGCTTTTTTTGGATTTTTTTTTTCTATCTAATGTAAATGCACTTAGTTGTCTGCCACTGCTGCCAGCTTCTGTGTCAGGCTCACAGTGCCCATTTCCC